TTCCATGTCATAGTCAAAAGGAAGGCCAGTCTTAGCTCAGTCCCTTTTATTTCTAGTGCTACGTAAACATGTGAGTTGTTGATTTATTAATTTGAACCTTCTGTGTCTCAGGCTTTCTCTTTTTTAAACTTATTCATAAGTACTTCAAGCATTAGTAAGCATTGAGACAATAACTGCTAGATAAATATTAGGTTAATAGTGATTTATGCTTGGCACAATAACCAGTACATAATTAAATCTATGAAAATATACTTATAAGATGCGAGGATGTTGAGAAATTGATTTGATTTTTAAAGGCAAGCAAACATATTGCTAGTTTGGAAGTGATGTTGGGAAGATATGGGAAGTGATGTTGTTTTTTTACTGTTTCATTTCTACTCTTTCATTCAAAAATTATTTGTTGAATATTTATTGGATTAAAGTGAAAGATGAGCATGCCCTATTCCTACCAGCAAGAGGGTAGCATTAAGGGGACAAACACAAAACGGCAAAGCCAATTCTAACAGACACAGGATGTAATAAATGCTGCAGATACCAGTGGGTGTGTATGGAGTCTCCAACACACATTATATTTCCGTAAATGTATTCTCTGATTAAAACCTTGACTCATCTGTTCATTACAGCAGAGTTTCCAGAAATAACACTGTTCACAGATTTTCTTTTAAATTCAGAGTGAAATGTGTATCTCTATTTCTGTTCAATGGAGAAAAGAAGGCTAAGGCAGCTTACCTATTTCTCAAGAATATCAAGAAATTTTGCACTTAAAATTAGGTTATCTATTGGAAAAGGATTCATACATTTTCCAGAGATTATTCTTTTTCTGTTTAACAGTACAAAGAAAAATTTCTTCCTTCATTATAATGAGAAATCATATTCTTCAAAACCTACTTGGTTGGGTTTTTAAAATAATAAAAACAATGAAATTAATAGAAAGTAACTAAAATGTTGATAAATTCCATGTACTTCAAATAATTCAATTAAAAATTAAAATTAAAGCTAAATAGAAAAAACAATAAAACAAGGGGATTTAATGACAATTGAAGGGAGATCAGTAGAGTGGAGGTAGGGGATCAAGGGGGAGGAAGAGGGGAAGAACTGGGGAATGAAGTTAACCAAATTATGCTATGTGCTCATATAAATATATCACAACACATTCAATTTTATTTAAGACCAATAGAGTAGAGGAAAGGGATGAGAGGGAGGGAAGAATGTAGGGGGAACAGGGAAGTATTGGGATTGAAATGGGTCAGACTATGTTCTATGCATTTATGAATATGTCAAAATGAAGCCCACTGTTATGTATAAGTATAATGCACTAATAAAAACGTTTTTCAAAGGTTAAAAAATAATTCAGCTGAAAGCAATCATAGATACTGTATATACTTTCTGTTAATTTTTCTTTACAATAATTTTTATTTTCTATCTTTCTTATTATCACGGTTAATATGGTGTTCCCCAAAAGCTCACCTTAGACAATACTGGAAGGTTTGGAGGAGAAATGATTGGAGTACAGTATTAACCTAATAAGTGAATGAATCCCCGATGGGATTAACTGAGTGGTAATTGGAGCAGGTGGGGTACAGCTGGAGGAAGTGGTCACTGGAGGCGTGGATATGGAGTATATATTTTGTATCTGGAGAGTGAAGTCTGTTTTCTGATCATCATGTGAGTTGGTTCCCTCTGCCACACTTTTCCACCATGATGTCCTGCCTGCTGTCTAGGGATTGAGAAATCTGTAATCTTGAGCCCCTCAGTAAACTTTTTTCTCTTCTAAAATTATTATTGTCAGATCCTTTAGTGTCGGCAGTGACAAAGCTAACTAAAACCCTTATGGATTCCTAGGGATAACAGTGAAAAAAGTGGAAATAAAACATAATGAAAAAAGCCCCAGACTAAGAATCAAGAGACCTTGATTCTGGACACATTTGATTACCAATTTTTAACAAGTTACTGAAGGTCTTTGAATACTGTCTGTGGAGCAAAAGTTAAGGAGCAGCCTAGCCTGACTGGTGATCAACTTAAACACCATAGCATATAAAGTACCTGTGGACTGCCCTGTGAAATAAGTTTCAAAAAAAAAACTTTAAAAGGCACCCCACCAAACAATAATTCTGCCTTTGAAATTAAATACATTATTTTCTTTATATTACTAAAGCAGTAAATGAGGCATTGAGCTACAGGAAAAACTACTATCAAAATAAAAATTCTTCATGGAAAGAAAATAAGATGCTCTGGAGTCACAACTGAAAGAATCCTGCTTGCTATCATATTTCCAGTTTTTTAAATGTTATATAATCTGAATGCATTCAAAAAATTCCAAAGGCGATTAAAAAGTTCATGCTTCACTTTTCTTTTTTCCTTTTCTTTAAAAGGACTCATACTTGAAATATACATTCTGCATCGGTACTCAAATGCTAGCGGTTGATTTGAAAAATAACTTCCACCCACACAAAGCCATTTTAGATTTTTTTTAATGGCTGAAATTTTAAAATAGTTTAACTTATAATTTTGCTGTTTAAAATATGTAAAAATTAATTTAAATGAATTTAGTTTTGGTTGGCTGTTTTATTATTGTTGTTTTGTTTTGTTTTGTTTAAGTATTAATGTCCACAGTAAATGGTGAGGATCATAAAGGCTAAGGAAATAGCTCATAGTCATATAGCTTGCAAGTGGTAAGGCCAAAACATGCAACCCAGAAATTCAGACTTGATCATTTTCCATTACAGCAGATCATAGTTGTAGCTATTGACATAAAGAAAACATGTATTATTTATTCTTTCATTGAGCATATAATTAGTTAGAGCCTAGCCTATGAGTGCTGTAGTCCAGCAGTAAACAAGAGACAAAATTCTGATGATGTCCTGGTAAATGTTGACAACTGGCTGGGGAGAGGAAAGGGTAGGAAGGAGAGTTATATTTGCTCCTTCCTGAAATGTACAAACTCCTGTTATGACAGCTTTTGAGCTACCATACCAACTCTGAGTTGGGAGCAGATAGGCACATTCATTTCTTTTGAGCCTGTTGGCTCCAGCAAACCACTGAAGAAAACTTCCTCTCAAGTACAAGATGCATTCTGGCAGATAAACAGAAGCAACATTTCACACCAGCAACAAGTATGTCAGATGCTGATAGGTGTTATGGAGGGGAAAAAAGAAAGGCAGGAAAATTGCATAAGCAGTGTGGGGTAGGAAGGGAAAATTTTAAATAGGATAGTCAAAAAAGACTCCCTGAAAAGATGGAGTTAGCATTTGCTGAATGGGAGAAGACACTGAAGAGAGCAATTTTGGAAGAAATATCAGAGGTTCATTTGAAATATAGATAGTTTGATATGCCTATTTGACATCTATTTGGAAATTCAGAACCAGGTTTATGAATCTGGTTTCAGGGAGAAGTTTGGTTTGGAGATAAAATTGTTTGAGTATTCAAATACCGATAATATTTAAAGCACTGGGACTTAGTGGGAGCACCAGGAGAGTAAATGAAATTTCATTTAAAATTTAATTATCTATTTAACAAACACAGTATCAGCACTGTTATCAGTGCTTTGCTGGTATAAACTCATGGAAACTATTCTAACAACCCTAGGATCGGGATCATGTTATTTTTTCCCTTATTCTAACTACAGATAAGAATTATGCATCTGAAAACAAACTAAGCACTACCTAACTATAGGTGGGTGTTGGATATAACTTCATTTGGGACTCATCATCCTTACAATGAGGAGTAGTGTGAGCTTCAGCTATTTACCATCAAAGCACAGAGAGGTTAAGTAATTCATCCACATTCACAACTAAATTGCTACTAACTAGTAGATCGAAAATTTCTAACTAAAGCTCTCTGGATCCAGAGTTCTGTTTTGAAAAGAGAAGTTGTGTAAAGGCCCGAGACTTCAGGCACTATAACATTTAGAGGTGGAGGAATGAGGCAGATAATTAAGTCTGATTTATAGCAAGTCACACATTTTACTTTCCCCTCAAGTTCTGACTATGCTCAAGTAGAGTATAAAAAAAAAAATAGAAAAGCAATGATTTGTTTGTCTTTATACTTTTCCATACTATACTGTCTATAATAAGCCCAGAATGATTCTAGAATCAGGAAAGGTAAAATAGTAGAAACAACATGTCATTCTCTGTTTACAACACAGCTCAATGAGAAGGAACAATGATAATGATCACAGAGAGATTGAAGTAAAGTCTCTGCATACAATGAGAAGGGGGTTAGCATGTGATTTGTTGTCTGAACTAGAATAATTGAGAGTAAAAGGGAGCACTATCAATTACACCATGATAGCAGCTTTAAGTTAGGATTAAACACACCTACTACAAACATACCTAAACACTGGGTATGCTCTTAAGAACTGAGTTTGAATGAGTAGGAGGGTACAGATTCACTTGGTCCATGCAAATTACCAACCACTGTTGCTGCTGCCTTCCTGTTCCTTGTTGGTCAAATATACCTTTATTGATCACTGTCATTTAGGTTACCCGCCCCAACTATTTATTAGAGCTAAGCATAAGAAAACAAACCGAACACCACCTTATTCTTGGTAGGTATTGAAGATACTGCATTTGGGATGCATCAGTACTTAGAATGAGGAGGAATAATATGAGCTTCAGCTATTTTAATTATTAAAGTCTTATTTCAAGGGTTTGGAAAGAAATACTAAATATTTAAAAGAAATCAAGGGTTTGGAAAGAAATAAAAATAATAAATATTTAAAAGAAATCAAGGGTTTGGAAAGAAATACTAAATATTTAAAAGAAATATTTTAAAGAAATCAAATAAAAAATAACTTTATACAGTGCTTAAATATATTTTTTAATTGCTCAGAAAGAATTCTCTTAATTCCTATTCTAACTTAAATGAACTAGAAAGAGATAAACTTCAAAGTATCCACTTGTACTTCCTAAGCTACTTTTAGTATTATATAAGCATAACTTTGATGTGGAACTTATATAAAACAGAATGGCAAAATGGAAATACAAGGGAATATACTGTACCTTGTTCTACCTGTAAGGAACACACACCTGACAAAAGGCAATTTTCACATCCAAGGTTGGTTCACTGCAGTAGTATAAGAAATGAAGGCTCATAAATACCTGTAGTTTAAAAAAGAAAAAGCCATGAATTTTCCAAATCAATGATTTTTTTAAACAAATTTAAAGTATAGATTAATATGATCAAGATTATCTAGGTATCATGCACAGCATATATTCACCTTAATCCCTATTCAGACAGTACCTAGTACTTTTCATGAATTATAAATATTAATTAAATAATAAAAGGTGGTTAAATATTCCATATTGTATGATGATTATTGTGATCATAAAAATGCAATATAAGAGACTATGTATATCTAATAAACTAAAGCAAAGTATATCCTATTATATAGCACTTTCAATTCTAGGCATCTAATTAAAAAAACAACTCAAACATGCTCAAAAGAATATATATGGAAGTTTATTATAGGATAAAGGTACTAATAGTGAAAATGCAATTTATACAGGATTCTATCACAGACTTGAGATAATTGGATTAGAACTTACAGTATAATTACAGATAAACTTTTCAAACTTGACATTGGGGAAAAAACAAATTTATAAAAGGCATGAAGATCACTATATTAGTATAAACTTTAAAAGTATATAAAAATTATAATATTCATTATCTTAAGTACATAAAACCATAGAGTAAAAAAGGGGGGCACAGTATATCAATATCTGTGTCCTCAAATAATTAAGAAATAATTATATTATTTCTGTATATTTGTAATATATCACACTTTTACAAAGTTTTAAGTAAGGAGTCAACTAATGAATGATGGCAATGCCAGATTAAGTACTGGGTCATTTGGCAATACTGCAGCAGCAGCAGAGAAATCCACCTGAAATTTTATTCAGTTTCATTAAACATTTATTGCAGGAAAGACAATTTTATGAGATAAAAGCATTTTACAACTAGTATTGAGGCAAGACTTTTGTTTCTGGCAATATGATAGATTGGATGTGCTGAAAATTACTTACAGGTGCAAAATTCCTAAAAATGTTAGGTGAATATACAAAATATTTTAAGTGCATATTTAAGCTACTAAAAGAGGCCAGAAAAGTTCTTAGAAGCTGAAAACAATGTGAAAAGATACATGCAGAGAAGTAAATGAGCTGAAGCTGCTGCACCTTCCAGGCCATCTGCTGATGTCTAATGACTGGAACTTTAATTTCTAAAGCAAAACGTGCAGAGTACAAGAAACAAAGCTTCCATGTACCCATGGTGGGAAGTTCACTTTGGAGATACTTGCATAAACCTGTCTAGAGGAATTTTAAGATAATCTTTAGAAAGAAGCAAAATAGTACTTAAAGGCAGATCTGAATTGTAAGAAAAAATATTTTGCATTGGATGCTGATCTATATGTATTTTCAGTTTAAGGAACAGTGAAAGGATACAAATATATAAGACAAATATGCATGAAAAAAGAACAATGTGGGGTTTGGGGTGTGGAGGAGAGAAATGCTGTATCAGAATTCAAGATTTATGATAAAGCTGTAGGAAGTATAGATATTACTACCCGTAAGTATGTGGGATTGGTACAGAGATAGAATATCAACAAATAGAGAGCCCCAAAACAGACACATACATACATGAAAACCTGATTACATTGAGGTCTGTATTGCAGACATCAGAAGAAACTGTGTGTTAAATCATGCTAAGATAACTGATCATTCATATCCAGGGGCAGCAAAGGAGGTCACTATTGGAAGACAATTCTCTAAGAGCCTCTTGCATTTCTACACGACTTACAAACAGAAGCACTGGCTGCTGTTTGTTCTACTCTCCCCTCTCAAGCTTGGTTACAGAGCAGACATCCTGGAATATATAGATGTATATTCCTCTGGTACAAAGCACCAGTTTTATTTTTTAAAGGAAAACATGCAGAGTACAATAAATAAAGCTTCCATGTACCTATGTTGGGAAGTTCACTTTGGAGACACCTGCGTAAACCTTACTAGAGGAAGTTTTAAACAAATTTTGGAAGGAAGCACAATAATACTTAAAGGAAGATATGAATTATAAGAAAAAATATGTTTTACATTGGATGATGATGTGTATAAAAATGTTTCCAATATAAAATAAAGATAAAATGTTTCCCTGAGGTAAAAGATAGGCACACTTACTGTCCATCATAAAAGACTTGAATTCTCCAATTGCAAGGTTCCTCTTCTATAATGCAACCATTGTGTGTGTAAGTCACCTGACCTTTCTTGCATCACCCTGTGGCTTAAGGAACTGATGTGAATGCTGACATTCTATTTGTCACTATTGCTCTAAGTAACAAAGACCCTTGTGTCTAATCCAAGAATCTTGAGAATTCAAAAGTACAGTGACATCTCAGATTCTTCAGTTCTTGGTAATTTCAACCTCACATTATATAGAAAAAATAATTCCAGATATATAAAAACTTTGGGAAAGGTCAAACTTCAAGCATTATAGAAGGAATGTAAATGGATATCTGAGAAATCTATCATAAAAAGAATAAAATATGATAAACTATAAATAAAATTATTAATAAAATAAACTATAGTAAATTTAATGTTAAAAGATATAATAATGAAAGTCTAAAAAAGTGGGTCACAACTTAGAAAACACATTTGAAATACATAATCAGTGAAAAATTTATTCAGAATCTATAGTTATTTGAAAATCAAGAAAAAAATAAAAAAACCCAACAGAAAGATGAGTATATATATATATATATATATATAAAAGGCCCATAAACATATATGTAAGTTAATATCACATTGAGGTATCATTTTATGTAAAAAAAAAGATAAAAAACCCCTGAAAAGTATGATATTATTTTCAAGTTGATTGATCAGTTGGTTGGAATATTTATACACTGCTGATATTCATAAAATTGGAACTAAATTTAGGGGGGAAATAGAGTTATTTAGTAAAGTTGCACCCAGTACATTATCCAATAATTTTGAAGATATACACATATTTCAGGCAAACTCTTGATTTACTACCAGGTTACATGTGCAAGAAATTCCCGTTAGGACATTTCTACAATAATAAATTTTTTTTAAAAAAATGAAACAAACACTGGAAGAAAATCCAAACATTCATAGATAGAACAATTAATAAATAAATTTTGGTATATTCCTTTAGTAGAATACCATATAACAAATAAAATTGTTGAATAGAGTAATAAGTATCAGCATGACAAAAATCTCATAAACATGGTCAATGAGCAAAAAGAAGTTATTATAATTTACTTATGAATGTTTAAAAATACACACAACAATATATTACTTAAGACTACTACTTTTCCATCATAAAACTACAAAGAAAATAAAGCAAAATTCAAGAGTCTGGCTAACTCTGCTTGGGAGATGAGAAATGCCCCTGGGAAGGGGCATATAGTGATTTCCAAAGGTGTTAGTTTTGTTTATAAACTTGAATGGATGGGGCTCTCCATGTTTGTCAGGTTACATAAACCCTACGCATATGAAATATATACTATTTGATATGGCTGAAATATTTCATATGAAAGATTTGGGGAATGCTCAATGATCCTTCCAATCATCCCCTTGGCATTGCGTATACGTGGAAGCCTGGAACCAAAACACTCCCATTCGCCTCTAGCAGGGGAATGCTCTTGAAGAGAAATGCTGAGGAGTGTAAGACAGGAGGAACCAGAAGATATATGATAACATTAGAGTACTGAACTAGCAAATTCTAGAACTTCTCTCCTTTTCAGTTGTAGGTTGGTTATATGGGAAAATAAAACATCACGGGGGGGGGGGCGGGAAATAAGGACAAAATATGATCAGTAAATAAAAAGGCAAAACAACAAAAGAAGAAATTTACTCCTCAAAATTTAAACAGATTATTTTATTGCATTTACAGAAGATTTTATGTCTACTTTTGCAACATATTACTTTTAACTTTTTTTTAAAAAAAAGTAAAGGTTTTTTTATTTTGTTTTTGTTTTTGTTTGGGGGGCATGGATACTGGGGATTGAACTCAGGGGCACTTGACCACTAGCCACATCCCCAGCCCTATTTTGTATTTTATTTAGAAACAGGGTCTCACTGAGTTGCTTAGCACCTTGCTTTTGCTGAGGCTGGCTTTGAACTCTGGATCCTACTGCCTTAGCCTCCTAGGCTCCTGGGATTATAGATATGCACCACTATGCTGGGCCAAAAAAAAAATTACTTTTGATTCCAGTATAATTTACACACAGCACAATGAATTGTAAGGGGAAAAATGTTCTTAATTATCAAGGTTGATGAGTTTAGAAAAATGAATACATCTCTGTAATTCACATTCCAAAGGAGATAAAGAGGAATCTGGAAACTTTGCATGCCCTTATCTCAACAATCCTCCCTATCCTCTAGACAAAAGTTGTTTTAACTTCTTTCCCTACAGATTTGTTCTGTCCTAAAACACAAATGACATCACACAATATGTCCTCTTTTTTCTGGGTTCTTTTGCTCAAAAAAATGTTTTTAGTATTCCTCCACGTTGGTGTATGTATCAGTAGTTGTCCCTTTTTATCACTAAGACACACTGTGCTCCTTATTATGCACTCTGATTTTAGATATTTTAGGTATTCCCACTTTTTGGATACTATTAATAATGCCATAATTATCATTTATGTTACTTTCTTTTGAATAAATGTGTTTTCATTTCTCTTGGGAAAAATACCTAAAGAAGGAATTGAAGAATCATAAGATAGGAATATGTTTAACTTATGAAAAACTGCCAGACCCATTTTCAACTATAGTATGGTTTGGATATGGTTTGAGCTTCCTCCTCAAAGGTTCATGAGTTGAAAGACTGTTCTACAGTGTAGCACTGTTCAGAGGTGATATTTAAGAGGTGGAGCCAATGGGAAATAATTAGGTCACCCTTGGAAAAGATTATTCTCCTAGAACCCCAAGTTTGTTCTCATGACAGTGAATTATAAAAAGAATAGGACTAGACCTTTCCCTTGCTCTGCCTTTTCTCTAACCACATGGTCTTCCTTTCTTGAAAGTGCTCTATTGTAATGCCATCTGCTAAGAGTTCCTCCAATACCAATACCAATACCAATACCAAT